AATCCTCCAGCTGTGATCTGTGCCCCATGCTACAGAGGAAGGCGAAAAACCTCCAGGGCTTCTGCCAATCTACCCTGGAGGAAAATTCCTTCCCGACCCCAAATATGGCGATCAGCTAAACCCTGAGCATGTGGGCAAGACTCACCAGCCAGACACCCAGAAGGTTCTCTATAGTAACTCCTATCAGCCCTCCATTGACCTATTCCCACTGATAATGAATGGACACTTAGTTACCAAGATCATGTTATCTCATCAAACCATCCCCTTCATAAACCCATCTAGTTAAATCTTGAAACCAGATAGATCTTTTGCCCCCACTACTTCCCTTGGAAGGCCGTTCCAGAACCTCACTCCTCTAATGTTTAGAAGCATCATCCAGCTCCTCACTTTGCCCTGGCTTACTCTCGATCCTCCTCCCCCCGACCCCAGTCCCTGAGACCTCTCATCTCATCATTGTAGAGCAGGGCTCCTCGACTTTGGAAGCCCCGGGGGCCCCAGTGATGATCTCAGCACATGCTGAGGGCCACAACTTAAGCGTGGTGGCATATACATGCAAATAGCTTCTTTCACACAATGCCCTGGTGCTCCTAAGGCCGCCTCCGTGGGGGCTAGAAACGCTGACACCCTGTACCCGTCTGTTCTAGCCAACCTGTCCCCTTGCGTCTTTCAGTGCTCACCCCTCCTGGGAGACGCCCCACTGTTGTGGCATGTGTTCCCAGTGGAGGCCACGTTTGGAGGATCCCACCTGTGGGCTGTGTGTTGAGTCCTCGTTTGAAGGATCCCACCTGTGGGCTGTGTGTTGAGTCCTGTATAAACCTAAACCACACCGTGGGTCGCCAACAAATGGGCCGCGTCTTGGGTAGTCCTGTGGTAGAGGCTCAGGCTGGCTGCATTGTATAAAGCTTAGAGAAGAGCGTGGCTGTGAAGTGTTCCCACAAACGGAGTTGTGAGCTCGTTGTCATCAGGATTTATAAAGAAAATTCATAGGAGAGCGATAAAAAGAGGAGGGATGTTCAGCTTGAAGAGCTTGCTCTCTCTTCTTGTTTCCCTCTCGCCCTTTCCACATTTACTATTTTGCTCCTCTTTCATTCTGTCAACTATAAACAGGCACACAAGATTTTTCTTTGAAGTGACTGCTCTCTGCATCAGAAGATTAAAGTTTTACTAGACAAAGTAATGTAGGGTTCTTGTTGGGTGACAACAAGTTGCCTTATTCTGGTACTCACATGACAGAATGCTTACGAACAGACAGGGATACTTTGTGCTGTACATAAGCTTTTTCCCTCTGCTAGTTATCTAGTAGTCTCCATCACTGCAGTTCAGTGAACAGAAGCCATACATTTTTTTTCCATCATCCAATGAATTTCTGGTATTTTAAGTACCTGAACTTGTTTAAAGTTGCTCTTACATTATTGCTACTGGGGATGTTAAAATGGTTAATTTGGTAACCGTGTAATCCCTGAAAATCTTAGTGGTTACATGTTGTGGGCTCAGCAGTATAAAGCTTATATTGCAGAGCCCACAGTGCAGCCAGTTCCTGGTGCGCACCTGCTACTGCCCCACCCAGCTCCAAGGAAGCAGGCTGTGCTGCAGGCTCTGCAGTATACGTTCTATACTGCAGAGCCCACTGTGTTGAGGTGGGAGGCAGGGAGCTAGCTTCCCAGGAGCTGCTGCATGCTGGAAGCTGATTTTCAAGCCAGCTCCTGGGCTGTCCCAGCTCCCACTTGCTGTCCTTCTGGCTGCTACCTCTTGCTGCAGCAGTGTGAGGCTGCAGCTTTTCCTCTGGGACCTGGTGTGTACCAGGCACCAGCTTTTAAATCTGCTCCCGATGCGTACCGGCTCCCGGCCCTGTTCTGTGGTTTCTGATACAGAGCCAGCAGTGAGGGGTGGCAGCTGGCACCCTGGCGTGGGGTTTGAGGTGTGTAACTGTTAGGGTAACTGATGAGCTCATGCTTATCATTTAACTGTTTAAATGGTTGTACTGTTACATCCCTAATTGTTAGTGAGACTGCACTGATGCTGGGAAATGTGGTATAGAAAACTTGGTTTTAAAGTATTGGGAATTACAGCAGTGTGGGGTCAGATGCATTTAGGAAGGAGATGGACAAATGCAGTTCATACTGTTTTTATATTTTTATCTATCAAGCAGACTTAGAATCTTCTTTTTACTTGCTGTTCCCCAATGCTGCAAATGCTTAAGCAGTTCTTTATTATTCAGGTGAATATCCCCAGCTTCAGCGGTAACACCCACATGAGTAAAATTAAGCATATAAATAGAGGGTCAGAGTCATAGCTGGCTTGAGGTTGAGTAAGCCTTGCAAATAAGGAAATGGGATAATTTTAAATCTTCAAGTGTATATTTGATCAAAGATTTATTGGGGAGATTCAGTTAAGAATTTGTATCCATTTTAGATTAGGTTTTACTAGCTATGCAATTTGTTTTTGTATTTCGATAAAGTTAAAATTAAACTGTAATTAGCCACAACCTATTTTTCATAGGAAAATCAGATCAAGAAGTAAATAATCAAGTTTTCTACATTTTCCTAAACAGGTACGTTGGGGCAACAAGATAAAGAGGTGTTGCCTGATCTCGGATTAATTTTGAATTTCCATTTACCACCTTTGGGGCTGACAGGTCCTTTGTCCTGGGATCAGGCCCAGTATTCAATTATTCTATGGTTGGGAACCCTGAGGTGCATAGTTGCAACACTCACATGATAGGACCTCTTGTATGTTTACAAGTCTAGTTTATTAATACATTTAGCACAGTCGCAAACACCCTAATTTCACAAGACAGATAGGGAATGTACATCTTTATTTCCATTCCATATATTCACACCATTCCTTCTAGAACAATCTTAGGTGTTAGCCATCATCTTCCTCATTGTCACCAGTGGCGATTGTTCCCAAGGACTCGATCTTCTACTGACCCTAGGTTGGGTTGCTACTTTTATAAGATGGAATGCTGACGTTGTTAGGGGATGTTTTCTTTTCTCCTTATTTGTATTTCTTCACCGTACTGATGGTGAAGGGTCTTTTTCCTGTAGTTCTGTGTATCATTGATTTCAGCTTACTTACATCAATTCGTTACCATGGTACTTTTGTGATTGTCTGTCGCATTTGTTATTTCTGTCTTACCTCGTTACTCAGTCTAGTTTTAACCTGTTATTTTGGGTTTTTCTAAGTAATGATGTACCTACTAAGTTTATTGGAAGCCCCCAATGAAAAGTCCCTCTATATTACCCTGTGTCCAGGTGATAGGTCCCAAATATGTGCAAGTTGTCTTTGCTGTCTGGGTGAAAGGTCCTGGACGTGTGTGGTCCTGGGACCAATCCTTTTCAACTTATTCATAAATGATCTGGAGAAAGGGGTAAGCAGTGAGGTGGTAAAGTTTGCAGATGATACCAAACTGTTTAGGATAGTCAAGACAGAAGCAGACTGTGAGGGACTCCAAAAAGATCTCACCAAACTGAGTGATTGGGCAACAAAATGGCAAATGAAATTTAATGTGGTTAAGTGTAAAGTAATGCACATCGGGAAAAATAACCCCAACTATACATACAGTATGATGGGGGCTAATTTGGCTACGACAAATCAGGAAAGAGATCTTGGAGTTATCGTGGATAGTTCTCTGAAAACTTCCACTCAGTGTGCAGCAGCGGTCAAAAAGGCAAATAGGATGGTAGGAATTATTAAGAAAAGGATAGAAAATAAGACACAGAATCTTACTGCCCCTGTATAAAACTATGGTACGCCCACATCTTGGATACTGTGTACAGATGTGATCTCCTCACCTCAAAAAAGATATTTTGGCCTTGGAAAGGGTTCAGAAAAGGGCAACTAAAATGATTAGGGGTTTGGAACGGGTCCCATATGAGGAAAGGTTTAAGCAACTGGGACTTCTCAGTTTAGAAAAGAGGAGACTGAGGGGGGATATGATAGAGGTATATAAAATCATGAGTGGTGTGGAGAAGGCGGATAAAGAAAAGTTATTTATTAGTTCCCATAATAGAAGAACTAGAGGACACCAAATGAAATTAATGGGTAGCAGGTTTAAAACTAATAAAAGAAAGTTCTTCTTCACACAGCGTGTAGTCAACCTGTGGAACTCCTTGCCAGAGGAGGCTGTGAAGGCTAGGACTATAACAGAGTTTAAAGAGAAGCTAGATAATTTCATGGAGGTTAGGTCCATAAAAGGCTATTAGCCAGGGGATAGAAATGGTGTCCCTGGCCTCTGTTTGTCAGAGGCTGGAGAAGGATGGCAGGAGACAAATTGCTTGATCGTTGTCTTCAGTCCACCCTCTCTGGGGCACCTGGTGTTGGCCACTGTAGGCAGACAGGCTACTGGGCTAGATGGACCTTTGGTCTGACCCAGTACAGACGTTCTTATGTTCTTATGTGTGAGCTAACTGTTTATTTGACTAAAAGGTCCCAGACAAAGATACTAACTTTGCCTTAGCTCAGCATATAGGACTTGGCCTGTAAGACCCTTGTGTTGTAGCCAAACTGCCAGTGTAAACCTACTTAACTTCTTATATTACCACTCATTTTTCTGATATTACTGTCAAGTATTTCCCAGGGCTCAATTAGACTTGTTACAGACTAGCCTGAATTTCTGTATTCATTGCTTGTTACCATGTCAATGTTATTCATTGAAACTGTTAACAAATGTGAGAATTCTGTGCTTATGCTGATGTTATAGTAGTTGATGACTACATTTGCTGTCAGTATTTTGATAGTGTTTAGAGACCGCCCTCCCATCCCCCCCCATCAGGTCAAGGTTCCTTTGGGCTATGCTTTATGCAAATACAAAATATGACTCTTGATTAGTATCCAAATAACTAAGAATAAAGAAATTGGTAGATAAATTTGAAACAACATATCAAAAGTACAGAACTTAAGTTTTCTATGCAGTTTCCACTTTTTATCATTTTTGCCCAGATCAACTCCAACCTGTTGCTTTTTATCCATATTATATAACAAGCCCAGAATGCCCTCCTTTACGTTGTCCATCTTGACAAATTCCTTCAGGCTCTGTCTAGAGAAGAAGAAAGAAATGGATGGGGGTGGAACACCTATTGATTGCTTTGCAAAGCTAATTTTAAATCTTCAGTTAAAATTTTAGGAGTTTGGTTTTTATTGTGTGGTTTGATTTTTTTTTTTTTTGGCATAGTGTTTTATGATGCTGTGTTTTACTTCTTTTCCAGCTGTCTGAGAATGTCATTGATCGTATGAAGGAGCCTTCTTCACCTACAGCAAGGCCACAGTTTCAGCGACAATCAGCATCTGGAGATCATGGCTCAGTTGGAAGTGCTGCAAGTATGACCATGCTTTCTGAGAATTGGGGGAGAAATAGATTGACAAAGTTTTCAAATCGTGATGTTAAACTTATTACCCTTTGTAGCAATGACTCTGTAGGTGTATGCTTTTGCTGAGCACTCTCTCACTTTCACAAAATGTTTAAAATATTTTAATTTTTAAGCTAGCTTATTTGATACTTTCCTGACAGTGACAATAATCCCATCTTCTCCAAGCCAAGTAATACTGATAGACTTGGCTTTGCTTGTTCACCACTAAATGTTTTAAAATGCTTTCTGAAACACTCACAAAACAAGGAAAAAGTCTAGTCTAGACACTAAAATACACTCAAATTTGTCTTTCTTTTATATGGTTGAAGTATTATGTAGATTTTCATTGTCATTGCTGGCCTCTCTCACTCAACATTTTGTTTAGTAGTTAAAATTTCAGAAGTGGGGCATTGTAGTTGATTAATATACTTTCTCTGAATATTCAGTAAAAGAATTCCTAGTATCTAAGTTGTATAGGATTTCATAAAAGGAAAAATATTCCTGGTTAAACATTTTCCAAGTTATATTTAATATTTTTTTTCAGGCAAAGAAAATAAAATTTTAGTTCAGGAAGTAGCTCTTGGGTTCTGTTTTTGTTTATTTAAAACGAGTACCAGCATTGTTTTATTAGAGACACAGAATATGCTTTAAGATGGATACTTTATCTCTTTGCCTTGATGAAAACAAGTATAATTGTAGCTCGTACTAAATGATGATTACTTGGATTATTATTTATTTGTATTTTCCTATTACCTTGGACACCCCAGTTTGGATCAAGGCTCCATTGTGCCAAATCCCATACAAACACATAGTGAAAATGGCCTTGCAATTGGGATTGAGTTGAGACCAGATGCAACTAATGTATGAAGAGGAGAGGACAAGAATGGCAGTGATAGGAGTGATCATGTGATAATTAGCGGGTTTCAAGTAAAAGTGTTTATTTTAAAAACATACCCGAAATATTAATATCAGTATTCCCCAGGAGCCATTAGCTTAGCTGCTGTAGGTTTCCAGCTTATTACAGATACTGTCGTAGAAATGGGCCTTGAGGCAAGGTTTTAAAGAGATCAATGTAACATCTTTTATTTACTGTACTGGTGTATTACAAATATTAAGCATCACAACAGACCTTGTAAGGACTAATCCTCAATTTACCGAATGGGAAACTTTGACATGTAGATGTGCCTGGTATCACACACTGATCGTTAATAGAGAAAGGAGTGGAAACCAGGTCTCCTGATAGTCCAGTGCCTTGTTGAAATCAGTATGAAACTTTCCTGTTGGGCTCTGGTGCCCTGCCTCAGCTCCACTACTCTCCAGTTGAGTTAAAATAATGAGTTCTTGGGACATTGTGTGCTATGTTACTGTTTTAAAAAGGGCCACTACAGTGGCTACACTTTATATCTTTTGACTGAAATGGTACCCTTTCCTTTGAGTTAATCTCTAAGGGTGTGTCTAGACTACAGGGTTTTTTGAAAAAAATGGCCATTTTTCAAAAAAAAAATTCCCTTGCATCTAGACTGCTGCTGAGTTCTTTCAAAAGTAAATCGAAAAAATGCAGCAGTTTCTTCGACTGTGGAAAACCTCGTTTTATGAGGAATAATGCCTTTTTCTCGAAAAGCTCTTTTGAAAAAGGCGCTATGTAATGCAAACTGTGCTTTTTCGGAAGAGAGCATCTAGACTGCCTGGGTGCTCTCTTTCGAAAAAACGGCTTGCTTTTTCAAATGTACTGGTTGTAGTCTAGATGCTCTTTTTCGAAAGAGGCTTTTTTTTAAACGTATCTTTTAAAAAAGCCTCTTTCGAAAGAGGCTTGCAGTCTAGACGTAGCCTAAATTATATACCACTACATTGCTAAGATACCCCTGTAAAAAAAAAAAAAGTAATAATTTTCATTGCTGTTGCTCACTACAATTGTGGGCAGTTACAGAAAACGAAACAAGTATTGACAATGGGAGTCTCTTGTTTAGAAAACTATGAAAAAAGGGAAATTTAGAGTTGTAATCTGTGCACAGGATTGGCAGCTAGTAATTCCACAATTCTCGTGTCTTCTTTGTGTGGTAGGCTGGGGGAACAAATACAGTTTTTTTTCTTTTATTGAACTCCTAAGATTTCAAATTCACTTTGACTCTTTGCAAGCTTAGAAAAACTCACATTGTTGTGTATATATACTTTCATTTTTAACAACAACCACCACTCTTTTAGATTATGGTTTCCAAACTTCGTCGTACCACAAATCCCTTCTGAGAAAAATTGTTACACAACGCCAAGAGGAGAGTCCAGCCTTGGGCTAACACCTGAGTCTGGTGGTCCTGGATTGGGAGGCAAAACTAGAAGCTTCTTCCTCATGCTGGGGTCTTGTAACCTGAGCCCTGCCACCCAGGGCCAAAGCTCTGGGGTTTTGGCCTTAGACCCCCAACAAGTCTGAGCCAGCCCTGGCAACCCCATTAAAATGAGGTTTTGACCAGTGTTCCTTCTAATTTTTTTCATCCATGTGCTGCATCAATTTTGTTATGTGCACTGAGGCATGTGTGGATGTACAGCACCAGTAAAAACATATGCTGCTAGCTATTGGCACTCTGCTGGTCAGCTGTGTGGCATCTTAATCTCTCATGGGTTGTTGCCCAAGTGCACAGCTTATAGGTAACACTGGTTGTGACCTACTTTGGGGTTCCAACCCACAATTTGAGAACTTCTGATTTCGATTAAGTGACTGTTTCTGCTAAAATGTAGACCTTACTTTTGTTGTTATGACTTACGTGTTTAAGAGTAGTAAATAATGCTAGATAGGTATGAGAGATGTTGTAATGTGTACTTCTCTCTGATTGCTTTCAGAAAAGATCTACAGACTTGAATTCTTTTGATGCATTATTGCTGGTAGACCTGTTTAAAATATAGCCAGACCTAATGTGTTCTCATCAGTTTTTGTCTGATAAGCTGATTTTACAGATAGAGCTGTGACTTGGAAAATTTCTCTTAAATTCCTTGTTCGGAAGCTAATAGCTGTTTTTTTTTAAGAACTTCCTTTTGTGTGGACTATACCCTTTATCTTGGGACCTTTTTTTAGTTCTTTTCCCAGTAGTCAAAAACTCTTCTAGTAGGAAAATTGAGTAGAGTTTTCTGAAGCAGTTGGCTGAGGAGTAACGGACTGCATCACTTGTGAGGAGATGTGTTTTGTTGCTTGCCAGTGATAGTTGACCTCAATTGCAGAGGGAAAAATGTTTTGTGCAACTACAATGAAATCTGAAGTCTGAATACCATATATTAAACCATCATAAGTTGCTTGAGTAATTTTCAGTCTTCTAAGCAACATTAAATGTACTGAATATTTAACAAATATGGACTCTTTAAAGTATATCTATAATTCTAGTTCAATATTGATGAAAAGTAATTTGATCACGCAATTTAAGTGCTTTTTCTGAATGTCTATTATATCTGAGACTCAGTCATAATAGAATGATTTAATTCATTGTAGCTTTACTGGATTACTCTAAAGTTAATATTCTATTTAGAAACAAAACCCCAAGCAACAATCCAAATTACAAGGGGGAAAAAAAGCTCTCATGTCTGGCCAACATTCTTTTCCTTTATGGGTACAGATTCTTCCTGAGTTTTGAAGGCTTTTTCCCCTCTCTTGTTTTTGTTTCCTAATAATAGCTTTTGTTCGTTATTTTTATTACAGTAGCACCTCAAAGAACCAGTTAAACATCAGGGCTGCCATTTGCTAGACAGTGAACAAACACACACTTTTCAACCTCTCTGGCCTGGCAGGACCCTTTGCTGCAGCAGCAAAGCCTCCTCCCTGGGAATGGGGCGGGCAAGGCCTGGTGGCCCTGTTCCTGGGGAAGCTTTGCTTGGTCTAGTACTGCTTTTAGAGGACTGATCACTCTTTCTCTGTGGTAACTTTGTGTGCATAGGCAGCGTTTTTCCCCTTTAATAGAAGCTTATTCATTTAGAAGTGCCATTTTTGTTTCTAAATGTACTGTAAAACAGGTAATTCCAATGTACAGCACATTATGTGCTTCCCTGGTCTCAGGTGGATTTGCCAAAATTAAATTTTATGCTAACCTGCTCTAGGCTCTAAGCGCTCTATTAGGTTTTACTGAATGCAGATATTTGCTGTTAGGTTTTTTTCCCCCCTCAGTGATTTAGCAATGCAGATAGCAAAAAATGTTTGTACAGCAATTATGAAGGTACTATATGCAACAGGTTATCTGGTTGCTTAGAAACTGTGTACAGCTTAGGAGGAGCAGATTTTTTTTTTTGGGTTGCACAGTATGATGGGCTGTACAAACACATGACTGATAATGAAAGAATTAAGCAGTTGCTCTGGGCCCAGGCAGCCCTACTCTGCCACACCTGCAAAGCATGCATGGCTTGGAGGAGGATCTCCAAGGAAAGCAGCCCATCTCAGAAGGATAGTAGACAGTGGAAGTGAATTAACTTGTACTCTGAACTCCTGAGAAGGAGTGTTGCAGGAACTCTTGAGATGTGCTGGACTCAAAGGGAACAGAGCTGTAAGTCTCAGGAGATCTGAGACTATTTTTGCTCATTGGAAAACGGGGTCTGGTAGAAAGTGATCCATGGCAGCAATAGAACACTTAGTTCTTCAGAACTTACCTGCTTATACTGAGCCCTGGATCAGAATTCTATGGCAGGACTTTCCAAACTCTGGGTTGCGGCTTGTAAGGTGTCAGCCGACGGTCAGGGCAGAGTGTGTGTGTATGTTTCCGAGAAAAGGTTTAACGTCCGTGTCTTTACTGCTAGGACCGGGGTCCCGTCGCAGAGGGCGGCCAGCAGGCCAACAGACGCCCCGTTATATAGGAAGAGCTTATTACACCTTAGATTTTGGCTGCTAGAACACAGGGGTTCCTTCACAGCGGGCAGCCTAGGAAAGGCTGAAAAGGTGCCCCCAACGGATCTTGTCACCTGGGAGTGACACAGATCCAAACGCCCAAGCTTTCCCTATGTCTG